CCACACAGGCTCGGGGACATGGGGGGATACAGAGGGACATGGGGCAGGAGGGGACACAGACACAGGGGGATGTGAGGGGACCTGAAGGGACATGGGACACAAGGGAACACAGGGGACATGGGGACACAGAGACATTGGGTGACACATGGGGACAGCAGGGACACAGGAGGACAGGGGATATGAGGGGACATGGGGACAGCAGGGGAAGATCAGGGACACAGGGGGATATGGGACCAGAGGGGACATGGGGACAGTGAGGGGACATGGGGACACGACACAGGATGTGGAGCTGGAAATATGGGGACAGAAGGGGACACCAGCAACATAGGGACATGGGGCTGGGGACATGGAGGGACAGCAGGACAATGGGGACACACAGGACATGGGACCAGGGACACAGGGGACATGGGGGACATGGGAGCACAGGGCAGAACACAGGTGTGGCCCTGGCACTTGGGGACACAGAACTCAGGTGTCACCACTGATGCCCCTTGGGGGGGACAGTGCCTGCCATGGGGACACGTGGACGTCCTTGAGCTGTGCCACCCCTGTGTCATCCCCATGCTGTACCCAGCACCACCCACCCCATGTGTCCCACACCCTCAGTGTCCCCGTGTCCCCCCTTGTGCCACCCTCCATGCCTCCAGCTGTGTCCCCATGTCCTGCCTGTCCCCAGGTCCTCCCCACGTCACCATGTGGCCACGTCCCCTGATCTTGCCCATGTCCCCCACATGTCCCCAAGTCCCAAACACATCCCCAGCGTCCCCCCATGTCCCCTCTGTGCCATCATGTGCAGGGCAAGGGTCAGGTCCGCAGTGCCCCACTATGTCCTCATGGCTCACTCCGTCCCTCTGTCCCCAGTCCCCTACCTGTCCCCATGTCCCTGAGCCCATTGCCATGTCCCTCGTCACCTGCCTGTCCCCAACCTCCTACACTTTCCTAGTGTCCCCAGTGTTCCCGTGTCACCTCTGGGCCATGATGGGGTGTGCCTGGGGCAGGTAGCACTGCACATTCGCCATCTGCCCGGGGTCAGCGTCGCAGATTTTGTCGTCGGTCCGGCCGTAGTTGGCGTCGGCCACCAGGACAACGTCGCTGCCAGGGCAGCGCAGCTCCAGCGGGTACCCCTCACACGCCAGCTCCCGGCGCGCCAGCCCGAACGGGAGAGCCCCCCGGATCAGCCCTGGGGGGCACAGAACCCCAAAATGAGGTCAGTGCACCCTAGCTGCAGTCCCTACATCCCCAGCTGTGTGCTCTGCTCACCCCTTGGGGCACAGGGACCTCCTGGGAGCCGAATCCCCAATCAGGGACCCTGGGCACCCCCCAGCTCTGCAGCCTCCAGCCCCAAATCCCCGACATCCGGACATTTGGGAACCTAAATCCCAAACACTTGGGACCCCCAATCCCTGACACCTGGGACTCCCAAACCTGGATGAACAGGACCCCCAGTGAATGTTTGGGACCCCCAAAATCTGGGATCTCCCATTCCTAGGGTCTCCCTGGATTTGCCATTTCCCAGTTCTGGGACACCCTAAAACCTGTGCTCAGCCTGGCACACTCACTGTACACCCCTTGCACAGACGTTACTCTGGGACGTGTTCCTTACACACCCCTTGCACACCTCGGGTGTTGTACAAAGCCTTACACACCCCTTTCACGCCCCTGTGCACCCCTGCGTGCGTCCTGTGACCTTACACAATCCCTGCACACCCTTTGCGCACCCCTTGCATGCCCCTGGGTGTCCCTGGGGTGTCACACAGACCTTGCACGCCCCTTGCACAAGCAAAGGCACCTCTGGGGTGCTGCAAGCCCCCCGCACGTGCCCCACCTTACCGTGGGTGGCCGAGGTGACAATGACCAGCACCAGGACAGGGCCCGGCCCCAGGCTGCGCAGGGCGGGGGAGGGGCGCGCCATGGTGGGGGAGGGGCGCGGGGACGCCCCAACCTCACCGGGGGGCTCCGAGCTAGAGGGAGACAAAAATGGGGGGGGGGGGGGGGGGGGTTACGGGGGGTCCCCAAGAAGCACGCAGAGGCAGGAGGCCATGGGGAGATCCTGCGATTAATGGGATAATTAATGGAGGGGGGGGAAATTAATGAGGGAGCGAATTAATGCGGGGACAGGGGGGTCCCCGCTGTCGGGACCCCCCCCAAATCCAGTGGCTCCCAGGTGTCCCGACACCCCCAATCCTCTGTGCCCCCTCCAAATCGAAGGGAGCCGAACCCCCATCCCTCAAATTCCGGACCCCCCCTCCCAGCCCCGGACCCCCCCAAACGCGGGAGGGGCCAGGCACACCTCCCCAAATCCGGGGGGGCCCTGGCGTTCTGTCCCCACCATCACGGACCATCTGCTCCCCCCAAATCCCGCTGGAATCTAAGCCCCCTCCCCCCTTAATCCGCGGCTCAGCGGCCCCGGGGGGGTCAAAGCCGATTATCGTCCCCCGGTCCCCCCCGGGACCCCCGGCCCCCCCCTCACCCCGCGCAGGGGCCGATGCGGCCGCGGTGCATTGTGGGAAGCTCAGCCCCGGGTTGCCAGGGGCGACGGCGCCGCGGTGCATTGTGGGAGAATCCCCCCATCACCCCCCCTCCCCCCCACACGGATCGGGGGGGGGGGGCGCGCCC